TCACTCCTTCCACCCTCCTCACCCCCTTCTCTCCATTCCTCTCCCCCCCTCCCACCACCCTCCTTACCCCTCCTCCTTCCCCCTCTCCCTCCCCCCTCCCACCCCCTCCTTACCCCCCATCCACCCCACCCACCCATCCCTTCCCCTCCCCCCTCCTCTCCCCTCCTCACCACCCTCCCCCCCAACCCACCCTCCCCCTTCCCCCTTCCCACCCTCCCCCCCTCCCCCCTCCCACCCTACCTCCCTACCTCCCTCCCCACCCACCCTCCCTCCCCTTCCCTTCCCTCTCTCTCCCTATCACTTTATCCATTACAGAGATAAGGAGACGGGTTAGGAAGCCCTCTCCATGGGTAATTTGGTAATGGGTAAATTAGCAGAGGCATCGTGGTGATGATGGTGATGAGTGATGACGCGGAGGAGAGAGAGGAGGAGAGATTGGGGTAATGAGGAGAGGAGGAGGAGAGGAGGAGTGAGAGAGGTGAAGAGGAGGAGGGTGAAGGGGGAGGAGAGAGAGGGAAAGAGGAGGAGGAGGAGGAGAGGATGAAGGAGGAGTGGGGGAGGAGGAGGAGGAGGAGAGGAGAGAGAGAGGAGGAGGAGGGAGAAGGAGGAGGGAGGAGAGAGAGGTAGAAGAGAGGAGGATGAAGGGGGAGGATGAGAAGAGAGGAGGAAGAGGAGGATAACCGGGGAGGAGGAAAGAGAGAGGTAGAAGAGGAGGCTGAAGGTGGAGGAGGAGGAAGTGGAGGAAGATGATAATCGGAGAGGAGGAGAGAAGCAGGAGAGGAATAGGATGGAGGGGGAGGAGGAGGAGGAAGAGGAGGTGGAGAGGAGGAAGAAGAGAGAGGCAGAAGAGGATGATGATGATGGGGGAGAGGAAGAAGAAGAGGAAGAGGAGGAGAATGAGAATGAAAATTGAAATGAAAACAAAAATATCATCTTTATTATTACTATTATCATCATTATCATTAGTAGCAGCAGTATTGTTATTATTATTTGGGGAAGGGGAGAGGAGAAGATGAGGGGAGAGGGGAAAAGGAAGGATGAGGGGAGAAGGAAGAAGAGAGAGAAGGAGAGATAAGGTGGGGGAATAAGAGGCGAAGAGAGGGAAGGGAGGAAAAGGGGGAGAGGGGAAGGAGGATAAGGGAGAAGAGGGGAGAGGAGAGGATGAGGGAGGATAAGGAGGGAAGGGAGGATAAGAAGGGAGAGGGATAAGCGGGAAGGGGAGGGAGTAGAGAATAAAGGAGGGAGAGGGGAAGGGGAAGATGAGGGTGGGGAGGGAGGAGGGGAGATAAGAGGGGAAAGGGAGGATACAGAGGAAGAGGGGAGAGACAGGACGAAGAGGGCATTTGAAGTAAGGGAAGACTTAATAATGATGATGATAATAGGAATGATAGTAACAATGATGATAATGATAATAATAATGATAATAATAATGATAATAATAATAATAATGATAACAATGATAATAACAATAATAATATAATAATAATAATGATAATAATAATAATAATATAATAATAATAATAATAATAATAATAATAATAATAATAATAATAATAATAATAACAATGATAATAACAATAATAATGATAATAATAATAATGATAACAACAATAATAATAATGATAATAATAATGATGATAATAATAATAATGAAATAATAATAATAATAATAATTAATGATAATAATAATAATAATAATAATAATAATAATAATAATAATTAAATAATAATAATAATAATATAATGATAATAATAATAATAATAATAATAATAATAATAATAATAATAATAATAATAATAATAATAATGATAGTAATGATAATAATGATGATAATGATAATGTCAATAACAATAAGGATATTGATGATAACAATAATAACGATGATAATGATAATAACAACAGTGATGATGATGGACACAAATGACAATAGTAATAATAACAATGATAATAGTAATGATAATAATGATATTTGTAATGACAATGATAATGGCAAGGATAATGATATTAATAATAAAAGTGATAATGATAATGATATGATGATAATACACAACAGCAAAATTTAATAATTAAAAACGATTATAATAAACAATGGTAATGCATAATGATGATAATAATCAATGGTAATGTAATAACAGTGATAACAAAAACAGCTAACTAATAACGATAATAATAATGAAATGATGATAATGGACAATATGATGATTGATGATGATACATTAATAATAATGATAATAATGCTATGATAGTAATAAAAAACAGTAGCTGATAATAATAATGATAATTTATGACAATAATAATAATAAGAAGAACGATAATAATAATCATAATAATAATAGTAGTAGTAATAATGACAATAGTAATAATAACCAATAATATAATAATGACAAAATTAATAATAATAATAATATAATAATAATAATAATAATATACTAATAATAATATAATAATAATAATAAAAATAATTGATGATGATACATAATAACGACACATAAATAATTGATATCAATGAACAACAACAGCAACAACAATAATTGATGATAATTAAAACTAATAATGACAACAATAAATAACAATGTGATAATGAAAAATAATGATTTAACCAATAAGGACAAGGAGAACAAAAACGAACAACCCGAACGAGGAAACAACAACAACAACAAGCAAACAACAACAGCAAAACAAAAACAGACGGAGACGACACGAGGAAAAGAAAAGAAAAAGAAGGGACCGGCGCGCCAAACGCGCCCAAAGCGAGAACGGAAGGACAACAGCAGGAACAGGCCCAGATGTAGTAGAACAAGGGAGCGAGGAGCCAATGAAGTGGAGGTGGAAGGAGCAAGCAAAAGGAAGCGCCGGGTGCGGGCAGAGCGGAGGGGCAGGGGAGACGCGAGGAAGGTGCGGAGAAGGCAAAGGGGGCGTAGGGCCAAAAAAGAGGGGGAAGCAAGGGGGGGGGAGGAGGGAGGACCGGGGGCGTGGGTGTGAGGGTGGGGGGAGGTCGTGCCGGGCGGGGCGCGGTCTGGCGTGGAGGGCGGGCGGCTGGAGGGCGGGGGGGAGGCGGCGGCGCGCGCGGCTCGCGCGCGCGCGTCGGCGCGCTCGCGCGGGCGGGCGGGCGGACCGCGCGCGCGCGGCGCGCGCGCTTCTCGCCCGCGCGCGCGCGCGCGCGCGCGCGCGCGCGCGCGCGCGCGCGCGCGCCTCGCGCGCGCGCGCCGCGGCGCGCGCGCGCCCGCGCGCGCGCGCGCGCGGGCTGGCGGGCTGGCGGGCGAGTCGTGCGCGCGCGCGCGCTCGCGCCTCGCGCTCGCGCGCGGGCGCGCGCGCGCGCGCGCGCGGGCGGGCCGGGCGGCGCGCGCGCCCGCGCGCGCGGGCGCTCGCGCTCGCGCGCGCGCGCGCGCGCGCGCGCGCGCGCGCGCGCGCGCGCGGCGGCGCGCGCGCGCGCGCGCGCGCGCGCGCTCGCGCTCGCGCGCGCGCTGTGCGCGGCGGAGGGCGGGAGGGCGGACGAAGAACAGAAGCGAAACCGGGGGGAAGACAGCGCGGGGAGGGAAGAGAGGCGGGCACAGGAGACCGGCCACAGGTGGCAACAGAATACGGGGCACAACAAAGACAGAGAAGAGGGGAGAGAGAGAGAGAGAGAAGAGTAGAGAGAGAGGGACGAGAAGATAGAGGAGAAGAGAGAAACACACACACACACGCACAGGGAGAGATAGGGAGAGAGCGAAGAGCAGAGAGCTAGAGGTAGAGAGAGACAGAGAGATATACAGATTACAGAAGAGAGAAGAGAACGAGAGGAGGAGACAGAGCGAGCCGAGCGAGCGAGCGAGCGAGCGAGCAGCGAGCGATCTAGCGAGCGAGCGAGCGAGCTAGCGATAAGAGAGATAGAGGAGAGCAGAGTAGAGAGACGAGAGAGAGATAGAGAAAGAGAGAGAGACGGAGAAAGCATAGACGAGAGGGACACACACACAGCACACACACACACACACACACACACACAACACACACACACACACACACACACACAGAGAGAGAGAGAGAAGAGAGAGAGAAGAGAGAGAGATTAGAGAGGAGAGAGGGAAGGACATGAGGGGGGGACGGCGGCGGACGAGTGACGGAGAGAGAGGAGGAATGGAGAATGTGTAGAGGGGGGAAGAAGGGTTCGGGAGGGAGGGGAACTACGAGAAGAGGGCGGTGGGGGGAGTTAGGAATTAGGTTGAGAGAGAGAGAGAGAGAGACATACAGAGAGGACAGAGAGGAGAGAGAGAGAGAGAAGAGACAGAGAGACAGGAAGAAGTAACAGAGAGAGAGAGAGAGAGAAGAGAGAGAGAAGAGGAGAGAGAGAGAGAGAGAGAGAGAGAGAGAGAAAGGGGGGTGGGGGGGGAGAGAGAGAGAGAGAGGAAGAGAGAGAGAGAGAAGAGAAGAAAGAGAGAGAGAAGAGAGAGAGAGAGAGAGAGGCAGAGAGAGAGAGAGAGTAGAGAGGAGAGAGAGAGAGAGAGAGACACACACACACACACACACACACACACAGAGACGAGAGAGAGAGAGAGAGAGAGAGAGAGAGATAGATAGAGAAGGAGAGAGATAGATAGAGAGAGAGAGAGAGAGAGAAGACGGAAGCAAGCGGGCAGGCAAAAGATCAAGAGGAGAAACGCAAGAAAGGAAAGAGCAAAGGGGCGCAGGGGAAGGCGGGCGGTCCCAGAAACCCAGAGGGGCCGGGAGCCAAACCACGCGGCGGCGAAAGGGGAACGGGGTGGGTGCGGGGGGCGCAGACGATGCCGCGCGCGCGCGCGCGCGCGCGCGCTCGCGCGCAAGCGTCGCGCGTCGCGCGCGGCGCGCGCGCGCGCGACAGCGCGTCGCGCGCGCGCGCGCGCGGGGAAAAGAGGAGGAAGCAACACGAAGAGGAGGACAACCACAAACAACAATGCCGAAAAAAGAAAGGAGGGAGCTAATGGAGANCTTAAACTCCATTCATATTCCTACACCCACCAATTCTCAATAGATGAGAAGGATTATGGGTGCCGCTGGTTACTTTCATAGGCATATTAAGGATCATTCGAAAATAAGTGCTCCCCTCTCTGACTTGACTAAAAAGAACTCTAAGTTTGTATGGAAACCTTAACATGACAAAGCTTTTGCTAGTTTAAAGAGAAGCATTGGTTACTTTTCCCCTTTTGGAACGTCCTAATTTCAGTTTGCCCTTTGAAATTCATACTGATGCAAGTCAACTTGCTGTCTGCTTGTCTGATCCAAAAGTACGATGGGAAACCACCCCGTTTCCTATTTTAGTCATAAGCTTAGAAGTGCCCGAGATTCGCTATTCAGCGACTGAACTTGGGGCCTTACCAATTATTGAGGCAATAAAAGCATTTCATCCCTATATATATGGTCGTAAATTTCATGTCTACACTGATCACAAGCCGTTAGTTTATATCTTTAAAGGTATAACTAAATAAGCCAGGATGACTCGCTGAAGTCATGAAATCTTGTTATAACTGTAAAGTTTTCTGTAAAGAAGGAGCAAGTAATCACATTCCAGACCTTCTGTCGAGACATGTTAGTCCCTTAACCTCAATAGATTTTACTAGTTTAGATGCTAATAGTTTTCCGAGCATTGAAGGCCCCCCTTTACAAAGAGATCTTGAAGTTTTCATTGAAGCCCCTTTACAAAGAGTTCATTGA